CACTACAAAATTTCTAACAGACATCACGCTTGCGTGCAACTTTTACGGGTTCATCTCACCACTCCATCCACTTGCAGATTTTGGACGCCATAAGCTACACCGTGAGTAACATCACAGTCCTGGAGCCACCAGTCGAGAAACCCGCGTTGAAGCCCGTTGTATGGCCCAAATTAGAGAATCGAGCAGCACAACTTAATTGTATTTACGGTGGTTTCGCACCCAATCTCGAAATATTGCTCATAATGAAGCGTTTCAAGTTATCCAATCAAACGAAACTACCGATTCTCGCTCGGACGAACGTTCATCCCAAACGGCCAAACCTTCTTACCTGGTATGAAGTCCCGAGGAGACTCGAAGGTATCCAATTGTTTTGTATTGTTCGACAAAAAAACTATACGGATGGCGTAGAACGCTGGTTGTACGAACTGCCGCAAACCACTGATCGGTTCAAAATTAGCCCACCGACAAAATTTCCCAATTTGAATGCAGACTGCCCAGTTGCACCAGAAATAAACACAAAACCGAAGCTCGATCCCATGTCGTTGAGTAAAGGTGACCGTGTGGAGTTGAACTGCACGGCACCAACCACCTCGAAGGATACGCCTCTTAAGCTAGTGTACACAACACCTTACCTCACAAACATCGTCTGCAACCAAGGCTATGCTACGGGAAAACGAGCATCAATCCCATGCGTATTTGTCTCAACGGAAGACAAAGACTGCAGCCAATCGGAGACCTCTTCGTTCGATTCGAGATTCTACAGTGCCTCATGCTCCTCCGTCCTGCATTCGGCCACTGGACAACGGTACCTTGTTATTCACTTGGTGATAATGCGACTGCGGATGGAAGATGTAAATGCTCATATATTTTGTGAGACAATTCCTCTTCAAGCAGAGGGGATTGAAGTAACTCAGAGGAGAGCGAGTATTGTGAAACGACTGATGTTTACGCTTACACCCAGCATCCAGGATTTTGTGTACGATGACAAAACCTTCACTTGGAAATGCGTAGCTCTATCCATACCACCGGTTGAAACTGGATATATTCGATTTGTCTCATCTACGAATACGCTCATGTCCTATCGTTTGAAGACCTATTCTTCAGTGTCAACGCAATCACGCCCAGACTTACCATTCTCGCATCTGGTACCAGGGAATGAACCAGAGACCAATGAGTTTATGGACTTCCAGTCAACCATCACTTTCGTCCCCAAAAGAACATCGTTGAATACGTTGCCTGCGGGAGAAGTGTGGATGGAATGTAGATTCGCACACTTATCAAGAAGCCTAAAAACCAGGATCGGAGCTTACGACCGACTGCGTGACGTGCCGGATCCCATCCATGAAACCGGAGAAACGTACAGCCACATTTGTGTCATTCCCATTCGAAAGAATCAAACAATCAAGCTGGTTTCCCTGCACAGAGTGATCCACTATTCCTGGTTCGATTATGACACTACACTGCTTACCGTATCGGTAGTCAATCGGACAAGCATTTTGAACAATCCCAACGCCACATATATTCGCGAGAAAAAACTCAGTGGATTATGGACAGTTGGACATTGGCCTCAGGTCCGGGTGGATCTTGGTGAGGAGCGTATGGAACTGCTGCTGGTCGTGGAATTACTCAACAACACGGTGAG